CGTTTTCACGTAGATCGCCTGCACCGTCCACGTTTGGATCTCCCTCGGGTACATGGTTCCGCACGGCACCGGGCTGCACATCTGGGCGGCGCCGCCGGAGGCGGCCTGGGTATGGGCGCAGGGCCTGCTGGTGTCGGAGCTGGCCTACACCATCACCATGGTGACGGTCAAGTGGTCGACGCTGTGGTTCTACTGGCGCCTCTTCAACGCAGAGCCGACCATCCGCACGCCCATCCTCGTGCTGGCCGCCGTCGTGGGCGCCTGGGGCATCGCCATCTTCCTCGTGTCCATCTTGACGTGCGTGCCCGTCCACGCCCAGTGGGACCGCTTCAACCCCGTCAGCCCCATGCCGCCGACCGACTTTAAATGTGGCGTCGAAAGCTCAAAGTTCTTCATTGGCAACTCGGTGCCCACCATCGTGACCGACGCCTTCATCGTGGCCCTGCCGGCGCCCTACGTGTGGAGGCTGCAGCTGCCCATGGCGCAAAGGATTGCCATTCTCGCCATCTTCCTGCTCGGCGCCTTCGTCACCATCATCTCCATGGTCCGCTTCAACTTCATATTAAACGTCGACCTCGCATCGCCTGACATCACATGGAACTTTTCCAACGCCATCATCTGGACCAATGCTGAAAGCAACATTGCCGTCGTCTGCTGTGAGTTGCCTATTCGGAATAGCTAGACATGCCGCCTTTTGAGTCCCCCATCTAACCCCCATTTTTTTCCCCCCCTTGACAGGCTGCCTCCCATCCCTCAAGCCGATCCTCAACCTCCTGATCCACGGGCGGGCCTCCCTCACTACGGGCGGCGGCAGCGGCGGCAGCGGGTCCAAGCAAAAGGGGTCGGGTGGCGGGGCCGACAACTCTCTTGTGACGTTCGGGCAGGGCGGCGGGCGGCGCGTCGACAACGACGGGCGGCCGTTCGCCTGGCTCGACGACCACTCCGAGGGCGACCTGCGGACGACCAAGGCGGCCAGCGACGAGCTGGGCCGCGTCGAGCAGGGTAGGGCGCAGCAGCAGCAGCAGCAGCAGCAGGGCGCGAGCCACCAGGCCGGCAGCCCCGCCGAGAGCATCGTCATCACGAAGCAGTTCCAGATGAGCAGCACCAGCGAGAGGGACGCGGCCGAGGCCGAGGCCTCGAACGCGAGCTACTACCAATTCAACAATCGGTGATGGGGCTGTCTAGGAGTGGCGAACAAGGGGTCAGACTGGGGATAGGAGAAACAGTACGCGACACGATTCTCCTTGGGCGCACAAAATGGGGCATCACTACTGTATTCACAGGGCGGGAGTGGTATTTGTATTATCTGCTTATTTAATTCAACAATCGAAAACTGAATGTCGGCTTGCTTTCAAGCCGGTGTCCTGGTCAAAAACACATTTTCAACTTCCAGCCGTGCCATGTTGACCGGTGCTCCTTTTTTCGCTGCCAACACGCAGCCACCTAGCAGGGGCAGTGGTCTAGCTTTCCTGCTTTTCCTGAAGCCTCAACGGTCGTCCGTTGATGCGGCGTTTTTTCGTCCGATGGCGACGCGGTTGCCAAGGGGCCGCATGGTTCAGGGTTTCGGCTGATGGGCGTGCGTGTGTGTGTGTGTGTGTGTGTGTGTGTGTACGTCCCGACGGCTCGCCAGAGTCCGTGTGAAGGCGAAGCCACGCCACCATGGAGATCCTGGCCAAGAGGTGCGTCCCGACGGCTCGCCAGAGTCCGTGTGAAGGCGGAGCCACGCCACCATGGATATCCTGGCCAAGGGGTGTGTCCCAACTCTGTGGCATGAGTCGCTCGCGTGGGCCGCGGCGGCTTGGCAGCTGGCCCACCGATCTCGTCCCAAGATGGGATGAGATGGGGTAGATACCATGGATGTCACAAACCCGACGGTCGAAACACACAAAACAGGGAATCCTTGGACACGTGTCTGTTGACACTCGACCCGCCCGCCTGGATCATGGGGTTCGACATCTGACGTCTTGGCTAGATTGCCCTTGATTGCCCATCTCACCCGGTCTCTTGGATACAACGGCCCTCCACTGCTGGAATTTCCTTCCGGCGCTGCGGGTAATTCTCGGCCGAGATGCCACCAGAGGCAAGGATCCGAGTCAGAACCTTGATGATGAAGAGATTGGCCACCTGCCACAGATCAATCGCTGCGAGCAGGTTCGGTTGTCTGCCGGAGTCAGGTTGGAGCGGCGGTAGGTAGATCAGGGATGGCTATCGGTGGTTTGGGCGCCGGATGGGAAGGAAAATGGCTGACATCTCGCTGGTGTTGTCAAGGATGGTGATGAGTGAAGGAAATCCGAGAGGGATGTCGCGAAACGTCACAAACAGGAAAAGCAGCACAGAGTAGCACAGAGTAGCACGAGGTGGCAAAGTAAACACCCGGGTATTATATCTATACATGAACAAAGTAAAAAATAAAGGCGCCGTGACCAATCAAGGCTTCTCCGGCACGGGCGGTGCACCGCCGTGGGACCTGTCGGCCTGCGACGCCGCCCTGCGAGGCTGGTCCGGCAGCGACGACGTCCTCTCGCGCGGCCGTCGACCCCCACGGCTCCACGTGCCCGTCGCCCACGCCGCCCTCCCGCACCGTGACGTCCGTCTTGGCCACAGTCTCGCCGCGGCCGCGGCCGCCCCCCGCCATGGACGACTGCGTGCCGCGTGACATGTAGGCGGACCCCGCGCCGGTCCCCCTCGTGCCGCCGCTGAGGCCGCCGAGGCCGCCCCTGGACCTGGCGCGGCTGTGGCCCTTGGAACGGGAGTGACTGCCAGCGGTGCGGGTGCCGGCGGTGCTCGTAGCGATGCCAAACAGGGCCCGGGTGCGGCGTATCAGGCGCGAGAAGAGGGCGCCGTGGCCGGGCATGCAGGCGCACACGACGCCTGTGGTCATCTCGATCATGGTCCACATGAGCGCGTCGGTCTGGTTCCAGGTTAGGGAGTAGCTGTTCTCGATGTCTTTGGCGAGGGACGGGATGCGGAGACAGCTGACGATGGTGGCGCTGGGGGGTTGTTAGGGATGAGGTGTGGTTAGGGTCAAGAAATATGCTGCCGGAATTCTCTACTTATAGCGTCCTAACGCAAAACATGCAGGCGATGCTCATCTTGGTCTAGAGCGACAACCGCAGCGATGGCAGCATGCACAGAGGGATCATTAGGATCCATAAATCCAACAAGATACCCAGCAAGGCGTGCACCAGCGGCACGGCCTTGCGGTTGATGCAGGCGCCCTGGTGGATGCCGTCCCAGCCCATCCAAAAGTACTCGAGCGGCTTGCACTGGAAGAGGGCGTAGGTGGCTAGCAGCAGCGCGTCGTCCCACCAGAAGTTAACGACGCCGCGCGACGTGCGCGCCTGCTCGGCGCTGCGGCCGGCCACGCGCAGGAGCACGGCAAAGGTGGCGATGCTGATGCGCACGCGGGTAGCGTCTTGAGCAACTGCAGGACTACTGCCTGATCTTCGACGGTGGGCTGTACTGACGCCATGGGAGCAACATCAACGTCGGGAGCTTCAAATCCTAGCCTCGCCCTGCCATGGGCGCTCGACAAGGCAGCCCTTATGAACCCGTTATGTCTCCTTTGCTCGATCATAACCAACAAATAACGAACCCACCCTTCAGCTCCGTGCTCCGACTCGTGCCCGCCCAACACGGGGGAGAGCGTTTTCTCCTCCACAACAGCGCCGCCACCGCGTCGTCCATACCAATGCGCTTCGGCGAGTCGGCATATCGCAGTTCCCCGGGCGTCGCACCCGGGGCGTTCCCGGCCTGGGCGTGAGGTCGAGCCTGTTTGCGGAGGCACGCATGGGCGTCGCTTGCCTTGGGCTGATGCCCGCCATCATTTCAGCATGCAAGCCAGTCCACGTGGCTGCGCGTGGCAACGACAGCCCATTGGTTTGGAAGCTTCTAATTCTGTCCCGTTCGGGCCATGACATGACACGCGCTGCGCCGCTCGGACGGGGAGGTGGGGAGATAATTCCGCCAGTGTGGGAAGTCTTGCCGACCGGTCACAAGCACAGATAAGCGAGACGGGAGAGGGGCTGCCACTTGAGAAAAAGTAATTATACAGGTGCATTGGATCGGGGGCAGCATAAAAATACGGCATGCATGACGGACATGGGCGTGGCACAAGCAGAAAAAAAGAAAATGTCTGTTCCCGGAGCTTGAACCGGGTTGCTGAGACCTTATAATGCTGCTCACTACCAGGGTCGAACTGGCGACCTTCGCATTATTAGTACGACGCTCTAACCAACTGAGCTAAGCGAGCTGGTTTGCTCTTGTTGCAGGAGGGGAGAGGGGTGGGTGTTATATGTCTGGGGAGCTGGCGTGACTCGTCCGGATTTCTTTTCTGCTGGCGGAGTGGGGGCAACAGTTTGGACGGTGTAAACAGCCTGCTCACTACAGCGCCGGAAGATGTTCGAACTTGCCCGCTATTCCCCGAATCTGGGTGACAGGGAAAGGTAGCAAACAATAACGAGGCTCCGATTACGGCATGACCCCCCAGGTTGCGCCAGGTGGGGTTAAAATGCTGTCATGGGTAATGCTGCTTGCCGGCTGAGGGGGTTTGTAAAGAAAAAGCACAAGTAAGGAAAAGGAGATGTGAAGCCAACTTCACCAGGGCACTCAAGCCTATCACGCTCGAAATGTCTCCTGCTCAAGACAAAACGGTAAACGCCATGGCGGAAATGGTGGACCTGGTGCCGACGGTGCTGGAGCTGTCCGGGATCGGCGAGCACTTTCCGCACAACGGCAAGTCGTGGGTGCCGGCCCTGGTCGGCTGACGAAACGACGACGGACAAGACTCATGCCTTTTCCGGGAGCGGCTTCCTCGAGTCGGAGGAGCCGCTGGTCGAGGTGGGGCAGACGTGACATGTTCAAGATCTTGTTGTGCTCAAGAGACGTATATACAGCGGCGGGCAGCCAGAAGCAAACAGCATTTTATGTATGTACCGATTCCCCCCCTCCACCAGCACCTCAGCGGCAAATGTTCCGCGCCCCGTTCCCGGACAGGCTCCAGTTAATGTTCTGGCCGCACGGCGACTCGCGCACCGACGCGCCGTTGACGGTGAGGGTGACCCAGATGTCGCGGTTGTTGGGGAACTCGCTGCGGGCGGACAGGCGCACCTCGCCGCCGCCGTTGACGGTGCCGCCGCGGATCGAGAGGTTGTAGCAGTTCTCGATCAGGACGGCGTTGTTGCCGTTGTTGGCCAGGTCCACGCTCGTGATGACGGCGCCGCCCGACTGCGACACGCAAAAGATGCCGCGCCCGCCGCCGCGCGAGACGACGCGGTCGACGTAGACGTTTGTGTTGTCTGGGGGAGTTGGTTAGTCGGATATAAACAAGGACAGTA